CTGCTTTAATGTTTGAATAAACATGTATTTATTTCTTTCCTGTTTTACACCGACTTTACATCATAACTTAAAAAAAAAATAGCATGACCCGTTCTTCGGTTGCTAGCGTGGTCAAAAGTCTCCTTTTCAGTTGAATCAAAGGTCTTAAGTGAAAGCAGTTTCTTGTGCTCAGGTTCCAGGTGTCTGCGCGGGAGCTGCCGGTTAGCGGTGCCGACACAGATCAGGTGAGAGCTTTCAGCCCCTGCTGCGGGACGGAGTCAGGTTTCAGGCAGCACCTCGGCAGGACCCAGGCCTGAAGTTTTTCAAGCAGGATAAGTGAAAATGACCTCAGCTGCCGATAACCGGAAGAATCTGGCCTTAGGGTACACGGGGCTGGGCCCCACTTCTGCAACTCCGCAAAGCCCCCTGCTCCATCCCAGTCGCCTGCTGTGGTCCGCCCACTTCAGCTCTCCCCTGCTCCTTTGTTCAACAAGTACGGGTCAACAGGGTCCCAAGAAGAAGTTTGAGTCAGAGACGGCAACCAGAAAAGGTGACCTTGAGATGTCAAGACAACACTAAACACTGGACACCCCCCACAGCTGCAGGTGGGAGTTGACCGATTTGAGGAGGGCCTTTCCCAGAGGGCAGTTTACAAGGGGTCATTGTCAAGCCCAGTGCAGTTCCTGATCCTTCCCTGAGCAGTTACCCTGGTTCCAGGGTGCGTGTGTAATTGCTCAAAGAAATGGCAGGTGGCACCTCCTTCTGTAAATCACATTTGCAGCTCGGGAGACGTGGGACAAAGCTCAACCAATCCAGCTGAATGACTTGCTCGTGGGCATGCCTTTGGCACTGCCAGAATGCCTCCCTCTTCTTAGTCGCTCACATACTTGCAAATATTGTGAAGCTCATTATCTTTTACGTTATGTGTCCTATCTTCCTCAGTTGGATGATAAGCGACTTGAAGGTGAGGGCAACGTAACATGCTTCCTTCCTTCCCCTGTGCTAAGTCTTGTACACAGCAGGGAATCAGTGTTTGCTGCTAGTTCAAAAGAACTGGCTGGGTCAAATGCATGTGTGTCTGGTCCTATTCTCTGCCAAGGCAAACGGTACCAAGGAATGACTTCTGGTAAGGGCAGCAAGATTTCCAGTAAACTTTGGGGGCTGTCTAGCATCTCTTTAGATAACTATCCTCCCCATTTTTCATCTGAGGTTGGGGGTAGGCTGAACCCCTGCTCCATCTCTAGGGGGACCAATGTGTGATCCAGGTGCATGATCCAGGAGCATCCAGAGTCTCCCACCCTGGCCATCATGATTGGCTCAGGATGGGCACAGGACCCAAGTCAGCCAATCATCGCCCTCTCCAAGACCACCGCTGGGATCATCGGTTCTGAGGCGGCTGTCAGCTTTGGGGGCCACCGAAGGAAGAGGCAGCCTTTGAATGCAGCCAACACACAGACTGAAAGAATAAGGGACAGGTGAGTCCCAGGATACAGAAACCAACTTACAACTAGATTTCCCAGTTCTATGAACCTAAAATTTTGCTCTTTTTGCTTATACACATTTGAGTTCGATTTTTTTCAGCTACAACCAGAAGGCTCCTGAGTCCGATATTCTTTAACAGGGAATGAATCCCCCAAATACCTACTTGCCCTCCATAACAAAGGGCATCTATTTCATCTCAGGTTGGTTCCCCGATTAGAGCCACGGTGCCCCGTCACCGCACTGCTGCCATCTGGGGGCTCCTCCACATTCTGTGGGATACCAGGGTGGGAGTGAGACAGCCTGCCTTTGCTTTCCCCTTTCTTCGGCCTCCTCCCCCTATAGCATCACAGAGATGCCAGTGATTTCTGAAAAATTCTGAATCTTTTTTTCCCAGGGCTAGACCTACATGGTTAGGCCTGAGGGTGGGGATCCTCTGACTGGCTGCATCCCCTGGGAAGGGTCCTCCCAAAGAATTCTTAGATAATTAATTAGGTGACACTAGTGTTAAGGAGGACAGGGGCCCACTGGAACTCTCACGGTGGTTTGTGGTTTCCAAAGCACTTTCATTTGATCCTCTTGCAGCCCTCTGAGCTGGGGAAAGCCGGGTTTGATAACCCATTTTACAGATGAGGAAATGGAGGCACAGGGAAGTTAAGTGACGCCTCCAAGATCGGACCGATAATAAGCAGCAGAGCCAGAGATTAATCCAGTGTTCTGGGTTTGTTTTTCCCTCCCCTTTAATTTCAAGCTCTTTTTATAGCACTGGGCTTCCCTCCAACTACCTCGTCAAATCTTCGGCCTCAACCTTCCTTCCTGCCCCTGCTGCCTCCTACTTGTACCTTCTTCCCACATTTCCCATTTCCACTGATGCCAGGAGAACCGCTCTTCCAGAGAAGGCTCATTACACAAAGCATCTGAAGGGCCCCTGGCAGCTCTCCACTTGATGATGACCACCATTATTCGCAGCAAATAATGGAAAACAAACACAGGGACAGATGTCTCTCTCGAGTCCTGGTCTGTACTGGATGAAATACAGAGCAAACAGAAACCCAGCCTTCAGGAAATGCCGACTTTTGCCCTGCTCAACGAGTTGATTCCGTACGTGAGATACAAAGGCTCTCCCTCCGGGTCTGCAACCCAGCTACTTGACGACAGTTCTACACCTTCATCAAAAACCTAACCAGAACCCGAGAACGCAAATTTCACAGGCGGAGAGAATTTTTGAGACAATCCAACCATCTTCCCAGATAAGGAAACAAAGACAGAGAAAGGGAAGTGACCAACCCAAATGCCATGGGAAAAGACAGTATTTTCTTTCCTTTGACCTAAAGAAATGCTATGTATATTTGGGGCCCCCAAAATTAACTGAACACACCGCAAATCAAATATTTTCCAACTTATCCTTTGGGGAAAGTGCATGCTCAGAACCACGAGGCAGAAACAGCAAAATATTCAACTCAATTTACCCTCAAAAACCTTGCCACCTAATTGGCATTTCCAATAACCTTACTGAGAAACGAGAGGAAGAGAAAAAAGGGGAGGTTTCGTGAATGAGACACACAGCGAGCCGTTCTAAGGGAAGCCAGACATCCCCAGAGCTTCGCAGCTCTGAAAAGGGACTTTCTGTTTAGCCAAGTCACCAAAGTAAAAAGGCTTCAATATTTTCCTTCTTTTATTTATTATTCATACCTTTCCTACTCCAAAAAGGATATGCAGCAGCTAAAAGCCACTTTAGGGTTTAAAAAAAAAAAAAAATTAACGTATAGATTACTGAAAAGCGATTAAAAGAAAAACCACTGCCCATAAAAAATGTCCAAAGGGGGGAATAATAATAATAAAAATGTGCTGATACATTTCCAAAAAATCAATAGAGTTTCAAAACTCTGAGTCCAGTCCCCCCACCCCGGTCAAGGTCAGCAGGAAAAGAAAGGTTTGTTTCTCCCTTTGACTTGGAAGTCACACCACCCTTAACAGGTGGGGGCATCTCTCCACCGAGCTGAGTCCAATTTATCCCTCAGTGGTTTGGGATTACCACTAATTCTGTCGCTGACTAATTATACAGTTAAAGCAGTGATTAACATTTAAAAAGGGAACTGCACGGTTTACTATCAAGAAGGCCCGCATTCAGACTACTCCAGGGGCCCTCCTGGTTCTTGGTTGATAAAGGGGTGCAAGGGAGGTGAGGGTGGAGGCACCCCAGGCACAAAGGGGCCGGGAGTGGACTGGGGGCAGGTATGCGAGGCCTTGGCATCAGCCTGTGTGGGGCCGTAGGGTCCGTTCCAAATGGAGTGTGGGCCCCAAGGCATGTGAACTGAGCCCAAACATGAATATTAGGAACAGTTATGGGGAGCAAGGCTATAAGGGTGTGTTCGGGTTGCACGGTGCTCCCCAAAAAGATACACTGAAGTCCTAACCCTTGGGACCCGGAAACAAGACCTTATTTGGAAACAAGGTCTTTGCAGATGTAATCAGGTTAAGATGAGCCCTGAGTGTGGGGCCTAATCTGATTAGGATCCCCATAAGAGGGAAATGCCCTGTAATGACATAGGCAGAGACTGGAGACATGCAACTGGCAGGCCAAGCAGCACCAAGGATTGCCTGCCACCACCAGAAGCCAGAAGGCGCATGGAGGCAGGGGCAGGGCTAGGCGGGTGAGGCAGGGGAGGGCGCTGAGAGCCAACAGGCAGACCCAGGCTGCACAGGAAGGGGGTCTTCATACTGCAGGGCTTTGGTTTCACCCCTCATCCTCCTTCGGTCAACACCACTCTGTGCTCCTCAGAGGCCCTAAATATTTGGCCCCGTCCACACTGGAGAAGAGAGGCTCAAAAGGAGGCGTGGGGCCCAGGCAGCTGGCTCCCATTCCAGAAACGCCAGGACGCCCAGCACGGGCATTACCACACGTCATCACACTTAAAACAGGGCTGAGTGTCAGACGCGTCGTTATTTTACATAACACGAAGAACGAACGAACACCACCCATTATAATCTTAAGATGCAGTGATAGATAATGCACTGCTGATTTCAGAGACATTCAAACGAAAAAGTGTCTCAAAGTAGATGAAACGTGTAAGAAAAGATCAAAGGTTAGGGGAAAAGGCAGGTAAGCCAGGTTCAACAGATTTCTGCAGCTCAGGGCCTACAGTGTCTTGGCATCTGTTATGAATGTCTGAGAGGGGCTGCAGAGTGTTTTTCCCCAGCTGATAGGGGTAAATGGCTAGATCACTCATGTAGCTGGATCACACTTAGAGACCCTCAACTCTGCAAATGTTTCTAAAAGAGTAAAGAACACCCCTGGCTGACATACGGTCCCGGCATGACATATGGTCCTCGGACTGTTAGCCCTGCGCCAGTCACACAGGATCAGGGGCCCTGCGCGCATCAGGTATCCCTCTGCACTCTCCCAAGCCGAGCCAGAGTAGGGGCCCTCCGGGGGCTGCCCACATGCACGTTACCTCCCCCTTCCCCTTCTCTTAGCTGGAAGCAGGCACAGCCGTGCCTCTCCGACAGAACTCTGCTAATCCTGGAAAGGCTCAATGCTCCTAGATGTGGGTGCCATCTGGAGCTGGGGAAAAAGCAGGAGTGAACCACAAAGCCAGAGACATCCGGACAAAACCCCAGGCACACCACAGCCCCACCACTCCAGTGACCAGAGTTTCTTTGCTCGTTATTAAAAAGTTAAAACTGCTGGTAACCAGGACCTCAAGGAAAACAAAAGGAGGGACGTGGAATAGATTTCCGACAGTCGAGAACCGTGAGATATAAACGCCGATGCGTACGTGACCACAGAGCCAACAGAGCACATGCCCTCCATCAGCATCCAGATCTCATCCGGGACTTCTAAAGAGCACCGCAGACACGGCACGACTGTCCCACCGCGGCCAGTCCGCTCCAACAAGCTGTGCGCTTGCCCATCCTTTGTGAACATCAACTGGAATGGCTGCTTTCCTGACACCCATCTTGCAGGCTGCGTACCAGATGCTCCAAACCGAGGCCTGAAGCGAAGCCTCCAGAGCAGGGAAGAAACAACAGGCGGGTGTGAGGGCTAGGCTCTCAGGGCGTAGACTCACAACCCCTGGAGAAACCTAGAGAAACCGGACCTCCCCATAATCTCTCCCCCTCCCTCTCGTGCAGCAGGTGAACCCCAGGCCGGAGCACAGAGCACCCTTCGGAGCGGGATTCCTGGGAGGGTGCCAAGCCGGGGCCGGCACAGCACTCGCCCCTGCAAACAACTAGCTGCGGGTCAGCCGGACAGAACGGCCTCCTCCGAGCGAGCCGAGCTGTGCCCTCTCAGCCTCCGCTCTGCCGGGTGCAGGAGCTAAGCCCCCTCCTCTGGGGAAGGGGTACTGACGATCCACGGGGAGCCCCCAACTCCCCTTTGTGGGCCATGAGCTACACAGCTGCACACAGACAGGAGAATTTTTTTCTCTAATTCTACCTCCCCTTGCCGTTTGTCTGCTTGAGGAGCTACCTTCATTTAACATCTATAAAACTCTTTTAGATGGGAACGTGAATCTCCCCTCTGAGTCCAATACCCAGCTGGCCACTGGATTGCTACTTATCTGAAGGGAGGTCTTGGTGCCCTGATGAAGACATTTTCCTAAAATGAACTCTTCATTTGTTCTGGAGACGCTCATGTTCTAGAGCAACGCGCGCGCGCACACACACACACACACACACACGACCCTTCCTTATCATTAGCCACTAGACAGTCAGTCCAATGAGGGCAGATTAGCCTTGTCCAACCATGGCATCTCCAGTGCCTGGCACACGGTAGATGTTCAGTAGGCATATGACGGATGGATGGATGGCTGGAGGGTGGATGGACAGAGGATGGATGGATGGAGGATGGATGGCAGAACAGATAGATGAATGAATGAAGGAATGAAGGAGGGACTAAATGAACAAATGAAAAGAAAGTAGGAAAGATGTTTTCACAGAGAATTCAGCTCTCAGAGCCCAATCTCTGGGTGAGAGACTCACCTGAACCATCAGGGATGGACCTTACAAACGTTGGCAACATCTTGACTGTGGCTGTTGGATTAAAATCCCGGGAGAGGCCATTCTTCATCTCCTTCTTGAAACGAGTCATGATATCTATTAGAGTTTCATCGGAGAGCCGCATGGCATAGAGATACTTGTCAATCTGGGGGAAGGATAAGAAGGAAGGAAAGTGAGGCAAAGCCTGAAGAAGGTCAGTTCAGCTTGAGTCTGGCTGGGGCAGGACAGGACAGGGTGAGGTGCCCGCCTGTCTAGGACAAACCAGCTCCCACAGACTCTGACACACCACATGATGAGATAGGCAGTCATGCAAATGCCATCAGCCACGGCCCTCAGAGCAGTCTTGCAAATGCTCCGAGCCCCAGTTCTTCCTGTAAAATGAACCAGGTAGCTCCAAGTCCCTTCCAATCCTCGAATGTTACACGGAAGTTGCCCTTCGATCCCCAAGCACATGCTGGAGGCGCCCTAAGCCTACACATGACTCCTTTCCTCTGTGAGAAGTAGCTGGCTCATCCTCAAGTGGATGGCAGTGTCACAGAGGTTAAGAACGAGGGTGCCAGAGCCAGCCACGTGGGGTTCAAATCCCAGCACCATCACTTAACAGCTGTGTGATTTTCAGTTTCCTCAACTGAGAAACTGACATGGTAAATCTCACAGATGGGAGTTTTAAGATCAGATGAGACGGAGAAGCACTTAGAACACAGAAAGTGCTCAATAAACATTAGTGTTAACGTGACACAGTGGTGCTGGTGGGTTTCCTCGGGCACGATTTCTAGGTGGGTGGAAACAGTGGCCAAAGGGCTGGAATCATTCAGGACAAGGGGCGGCAGGCCCAGAGCAGAGAGACCTTAACTCCACCGTTCCCAGAAGGTACGGAGACAGCCCCCAGGCTCCCACACCCATGGGCCAGGGCCGACATGCCCATACTTCCAAGTCATTCCAAGTACTGCCCCAATCTACTGCTCTTCCTGGGCTCCCCATTCTCCTTGGGGTTCCAAGGCTCCTAACCACAGACCCCTTGGACTGTCGCTGGCTATTCTTCCTTCATAGTATCTTCCCATTTATTCTCTCAGAAAGTATTTATTGGGCACCTACTGTGTACCCAGCTCTAAGTCACCTTGTCTCACCATTCATTCTTTTTGCTTCCCTTTGGCTTAGGAAGCCCTGACAGCCATGTGCCTGGATTTCTCCTTCCTCATTCCTGACTCCTCCTCAGTCATTCACTGTAATGGTTTTCCATCTTCAATCTCTCTCCCTTCCAACCCATCCTGTACAACACTGCCACAGTCACCTTCTTAAAGTGCAACCCTGGTCAATTCTTTTCCGTGCTCAAAGCCTCGCAGTGTCTTCCATGTCCGACGTGCCAATACTCTGCAGGTGTGGCTTCGTGCTCTCGGAACTCCGGCCTAAACACCTCGACCATTCCTGGGGGGAATCCCTGGGCTTTCCCACCAAAAAGTCCTTCCTTCTCTTCCCAGCTATCCAAATCTCCCCTACCCTTCCAGGTTCAGATCAAATCTCACCTCCTCCTGCAGATGTCGGAGTTCCTCAGGCTGGAGATGACCCCTCCCTCAGCACTGCTCTCTCTGCACGGTAGAGCCTGGATCACAGCTTTCTGCACCTGTCACCTTTACAGGGCCTGCTCCATTCACCTTGACCCCCCAGTGCCTTGCACGCAGCCTTGCACACGGAAGGCTCCCGGGGGATGGAGAGAGAGATTTATGACCCAATGAGGCTGAAAAGACCTTGATGCTTATTTGCTTCTGAGAATGGCATCTCATGCTCACTTTGCAGGGTGGCTGGAAACGTCCTAACTCAAGGACACAGAGTCCCCAGCCCTAGGTCATTTCTGCATATTTGAGCCGGGGCAGCCTTCTGCTCACTCTGGTCTCCATGCCTTGTGCTCCCCCAGGCCCTGCCTGTCCCCTGCCTCACGAACCATCAGCACATTGGCAGGAGTCCCCCAGTGTCCTCAGCGGCCAGAGACAACCCTGCCCCCAACCCCAAGCTCTCCTACCACAGCCACCTTTTCCCTTCCCCCTTGTGATAAAGCCTTGCAGAGAAGAGCAATCAGAAACTACCAAGAGCTTAAGTAGAAATTGCCAGAATCACGGCCTCAGGAGAAGACACGCTCTGTCCTACCCCCAAGGCTGGCACCAGATCAGCAAAACTTGCTGTCGTGGTGCCCACAGTCTGGCGGGGGAGAGGCAGTCACGATACAAGGGTGTGTGAGCAGCCCCAGGAGCAGAAGTCTACTGAGAAGTCTTCCCGGAGGCGTGATGTCAGGGTGTGCATCCAGGCACAGTCAAGAGCATGTGTGAAGGCCAAAGGCGGGGGGGGGGGGGAGGTGCAAGGAACAGAAAGAAATTCAATATGGATCAAGCACAGTGTAAAAAGTGAGGCAACTAGAAAGACTGTGAGCAGCTAAATTGTGCAGGATCTAGTAACACACGTTAACAAATTTAGACTTGATCCCAAAGCACAGTGAGCCTTGGGATGACTTTGACGAGTATTCAACAATGAGATTCGTGTTTCAGTGAGATTGAGCTGTCTGCTGGGGACAGAATGGGTGAGCAGGGGCAAGACCATGCACTAAATCAATAAACGTCACATTGCTACTCTAGCATTTGGGACATGCTTCTGCTATCATGTTCCCCACCCTCCATCATGAGGTGTTTATTGACGGGTCTATCTCTTCTGATAAAACATGTGAGTTCCCTAGGGAAAGGAACTCACCCGGTTGCCTGGTACAAAAGAGGAATTTCATTCATACTAAATGCTAGAATACTACTCTATATTTATCTTATGACTCACAGTATATCGAGTGCTTTCATATCCAGTAGGTCATTTAACCTTCAAAACAACCCTATCAGGGACACACTCTTGATCCCCATTTTACAGATGCAGAAACTGAGGCTCCACAAAGCAAAGTGATTAGTTCAAAGACACAGCCAAGAGAGTCAGGTCTCATACCTGCAAGTCTAACGCTGTTCCCTACAATTGTTCCCATCCCTCAGGGAAGACCAGTTCCCCTATTCTGTGGAAGGCAAGCCCAAGTAAAGCTGCTGAGGTTTTCCAGCTGGACAGGAAGAAGCTTCTAGAAAAGCCAAGGCTCTCTGCAGCTCCACAGCCATCCTGCCCCTTGACTCAAGGTGCAGGTTAGCACAGGGACACTGATCCGAGAAAAAAACCTAAAAGAGCCTAGAAGCTCAAAGGAGGAAGCAGGTTGGGGACATAGAACACAAGCCAGCCCCCAAGCATCTTTGGAGGGGAGGCTTTCCTCCCCTGGTTCAAGTTCATGAATCATTATGTGGGACAACCCCTCTCAGAGGATATGTGGAAACGGGGTCCAAAAAGAAGGTATAAGTTGGGGCCGAGCTGGAACTGAGCCTGACGCCTCCTGGATCTCATGTGAATGAGAGAGTACGCCACGGGGAGCCTTTTCTACCGGTCTTCGGGAGCTCAGGAGGGGCCTCTGAACCAGCGTAGATGCTGGGCCGGGGGTGGGCTGGCCAGCCAGGCAGCGCCCGGTGCAGGGCTCAGCGGGTCCCCGGCACACGGCCTGGGGCCCTTCGAGCGGCGCAGGAAACACAGGTGCAAAGCCCACGTGGGGGACACTTGTGGAACACTCCCAAGGGCCCAGAGTGCCCAGCGCCTCACCGAGCCAGGGGCCTCGCTCCCCTCGTTCAGGCCAGCCCTGCCTGGCAGCTGGCCGCACTGCCCCTGTCCACCTGGGAAAGGCGACTGGGTCGTGGCTGGCGGGAGGGAGGGAGGGTGTCAGGCCAACCCCCCTGCCCGCGTGCTGCGCATCTCGGGGCGGCTGCGCCCTGCAAGAAACCCAGCAGGAGAGCTGCTATCCCTTCGGTGGGGCCAGAGGCCCAGGAGCCGAGGCCGGCAGAGGGAGGCAGCCCTGAGAAAGGACAACTTCTGCTCTCCGGGGGTTTGGCCAAAGTCTGTGGTCTTCTCAACTTGTCCATTTCTATCCCCTCTCCTCAGCGTCTCAGATCGCGCCCCTCCTCCCTGCGCCCCGCCCTCCCCTGACACATGCGCAAACAGGGGCTGCTGCTCGGCTGCACGCTGGTGCCCAAGGATCCCTCCTGTGCCTCCAACCCCTTCCTCTGCAGTTTGGTGACCAGAGGCCACAGCACAGCACCTCCGGAGGCTGCAAGCCGCAGGCCTCAGCCTTCGGATGGTCTGTCACAGGCCAGAAGCTCCCAGAAATCCGTGACAGGAACCCTCAGCCCGCCCTCACCCCCCCCCCGCCCCGCTCCCTCTCGCACGTGGCGTCTGACACACGCACGCAGGAGTCCGGGCCTCCGGGCCGACTGGGAAGGAAACGGGGAGGTGCCAGGCTCCCAGACACCACCCCGCGGGCTGGCTCCCGCAGACTCTAGGCAAAGACTGAGAAGGACCCCCGCCCCGGCTCCGGGCACCTCTCCCCAGCCCCTGAAGGGAAGGTGCCCTAATACTGTGCAAACCCTTGTCCTGGATTGGCCTTCCTGCAGACCAGGAAGGCCTGGAAGCTCTCGGCCGCGCCCGAAGCTGGACCACGGCAGAGGCCGGAGGAGACCCCGGAAGAGAGCACGGCCCCCCGCCAAGCTCCTCTGGCTCAGAGCTGTCGGGCTAGCGAGAGAGGCCAGGGGCCCGCACTGGGCTGCACGCGAACACCGCTGGGCCCGACCTCAGCCCCCGCTCCTGCTCCCAACAGAACAGGCACAAAACACCAACTCAAGACCGGACATGCCCGAGGGAACACGCCAGCCATGGGGACATGGCCATGGAAATTTTTCACTCCTTCTCTCCTCGGCTTCACCACGAGGCCCCAGAACAAGGCAGGGCACAGGGGTGACTGCAGGTGCCCCGTGCCCGCCTTCCAAGTGAACTTCCCCCGGGAGACGCTCTACTCGCAAAGACAACTGAGGGGCAGGCAGTGGAGGGTTAAGAAAACTCTTGCTTCAGGACAGGGCAGAGATTTCAACATCGGATTCACTTCTCTTAGGGAGGCTGACTCAGGAGAGAACCGGGCCGATGAGTGTCACTTGGATAATAGTTCGCCATCTGCCGAGGGCTCTGCCGTTTATACTCAGGACTGTCACACACGTCGTCCCGTCTGGATGTCACAGAAAGAGACGAAATGAGCTCATG